GTTTCTGAGAGAAAGGCAGCAGAAAGGGCAACAGAAGCTTATAAGAAGAATATAGGGTATGGTCGTGAGGATGATCCCCTGGCACCTTCTGTAACTCAGATACTTATGCCTAAGAGTCCCCAGCAGAGTGGTGTGCAGGATTTTCCTATAGATAGTGTGGAACCGTCTGCACCCTTACTGTTGGGGGAGGAGGGCAGGTTGGATGGTGGAGGTAAGAGCTCGCCTCCGCCGCCAGCTTCAGGCGGGTTGGATGGTGGGGGTGGGAGCAAGCCAGCTTCACCTCCGCCTCCAGCTTTGCCTCCGCCGCTTCCCCCACGTGAGTCGGCTTCGGTGGGGGGGTTGCTTCCCTCGCACGAGCCGGCTCCGGTTTCATCGGCTCCGGTTTCACCAGCCTTGCCTCCGCCACTTCCCCAGAATGAGGTAGCTCCAGCGGGGGGGCCGCTTCCCCCACAGGAAACCTCAGTGTCTGTATCAAAGTGCCGGCAGCATAGCACCCTTAAAGGGCCAGATCCTATCCCGAGGGCACACAGTGACCTATGGGGGGAGATGGCTAAACAGAGAAGGGAAGCTTGGGCTGCTGTGGCAAAAGAAGTAATGCAAATGGGGGATGGTGAGGCAATGGAAGTAGCTTCTAGCCTTGCATGTCCGGTTACATATACACCACAGTATGATGCTCAGGGGAACCTTATGCATAATTTGGCAGCATATGAGCCTTTAGACTGGAAGTTGTTAGCTCAGTTACGTTCTACAGTTAGTCAGTTTGGAGTAAAAAGTGAACCTGTTAGGCAAATGTTAGATTATCTTTTTAATACTCAGATTTTATGTCCAAATGATTTAAGAGGAATAGTTCGGTTGATATTTACTCAGCATCAGCAGTTATTGTTTAATGCACATTGGCAGGCGTTGGTCAATGAGTCAGTTGCTGTACAGCGAGCTCAAGGAGATCCATTACGTGGAGTGACAATGGAAGAGCTTATGGGCCTAGGAGCATATTTGTGTACAGAGGCGCAGATGTTAGCAGGAGCAGATAGGCTTAGAGAGTCTATGCGATTAGTGCGTGCAGCAATAGATATGTTTAAAGAACCAGGAGGGTTACTGGCTTATATGGGCATTAAACAAGGTAGAGAAGAATCATTTGGGAATTTTATAGATAGGGCAGCTGCTGCTATAGATAGGGCTGGCATTGCAGACTACATGAAGGGGGCGCTATTGAAGCAGTGTGCCTTACAAAATAGCAATCCAGCAACACAAAGAGTGTTAGCTACTTTAGGGGCAAATTGGACCATTGAGGAAGCGTTAGAGTGAATGGCATTAATGCCAACAGCTTCACAGGCATTTGTAATAGATGCATTAAAGGAGCTAGGGTTAGGATTACAAAAGCAAGCAGAGTCTACTCAAAGTCAAGTGTTAGCTGCTCTTGCTCCTCTCCGAAGTGGCTCACTGGCGGTTACGCAGGGCTCGAGATCATTCCTCAAGTGCTACAGATGCGGCAGTGAGGGACATACGCGACGAACATGTCGAGCAACTGGGATATGGTGTCACAACTGCCGATCCGGTTCCCACAACTCTGCAGCTTGTAAGCGCCGGTCGGGAAACTATCCCAGGAGCGCGCAGCAGGCGAGCCGCGCCCAGACACAAGTAGCCGCCGTGACATCGGAGACACCAGCTGCCGACGCAACATCGCTGCCACCTCCTGTCTGCAACCAGCCACAGCAGGGAGCCTCGGCCTGGACTTATCAGCAGCAGTAGACGTCACATTAATGACGAATCGGCCAGAGAGGATACCAACTGGAGTAAAGGGTCCTCTCATTTTAAATGAACAAAAATGTGGAGCATTGTTATTAGGACGTTCTTCAATAACTATGCTTGGATTATTTGTATTACCTGGTGTTATCGATGCGGATTATACAGGGGAAATACAAATTATGGTTTACACCCTTTATCCTCCTATTAAAATAACAAAAGGACAACGTATTGCACAATTAATACCATTATCACAAATGACATCTGGTATACCATCATTTACTGGACAAACGCGGGATGAAAAGGGTTTTGGCTCTACTGGTGTTACACTTTTGACTGTGGATTTACAAAATAGACCAAAACAAAAAGTGGAAATTACCCATGGACATCAAAGCATAACCCTTTATGGACTATTGGATACAGGAGCAGATACCAGCATTATTTCTCCAGAAGCATGGCCACAGCATTGGCCTCTATTCCCATCATCAAACATGCTCATCGGAGTAGGAGGATTTACATTAGCAAGTAGATTACCACTTTTGTTAGTGTGTGTTGATGATCAACAAGTATCTGCTGTGTTTTCAGTTGTTCAATTACCTCCTACAGTTTCTTGTTTAATTGGAAGGGACATTTTAACACAATTGAGAGTGGTGTTAACTAATCATCACCCTTTGGGGTGATTGCCATTGCTTGGACTTTCCCCATTCCACTCACCTGGAAAACAGATACACCGGTGATGGTTAAGCAATGGCCATTAAAAAGGGAGAGTCTTATGCATGCCCATGAATTGGTAAAGGAACAATATTCACAGGGACACTTACGACTTTCTACAAGCCCTTGGAATACACCTATTTTTGTTATCAAGAAGAAATCAGGGAAATATCGTTTGTTACATGATTTACGAGCTGTAAACGAACAAATGGAACCTATGGGATCTTTACAGCCTGGTCTTCCAAATCCAGCTATGATCCCAGAACATTGGCCGCTTTTAATTATTGATCTAAAGGATTGTTTTTTCACTATTGGGTTACACCCTGATGACATGAAAAGATTTGCTTTTACTTTACCAGCAATAAATCGGGGAGAACCGGATAAAAGATTTGAATGGACGGTACTTCCACGAGGGATGCGCAACTCGCCCACATTATGTCAGCTTTATGTTGATGCTGCATTACAGCCATTACATCGCAAATGGCCAACAACCATAATATATCATTACATGGATGATATTTTGTTTGCACAGCAACAACCATTTTCCTCTTTGCAGATTAACACCATTAGGAACACTCTTGCAGCATATTCACTTGTTATTGCTACAGAAAAAATTCAAACTACAAAGCCATGGAAATACTTAGGGTGGACTTTAACAGATCAAAAAGTAATACCACAAAAATTGGAATTACAACTGGATATTAAGACTTTGCATGATGCACAGAAATTGTTGGGAGACTTACAGTGGTTAAAACCTATTGTGGGAATACCAAATCATTTGTTAGAAACCCTACGACCTTTGTTAAAGGGTATTGACCCTACTACTCCTGTACATCTGACAAAGGAGCACCATCTTACCTTGCAGCAAATTAGTAACTGTGTACAACAAGGGTATGTGTCTCGTCGACAACTCGACTGCCCTATTGACCTTATTACCTGGAATAGTCCTTGTCATTTACTTGGTGCTCTCTCTCAACAACAGGAGAAAACGGGGGAGATACGGGTTTTAGAATGGTTGTCACCACCATTGCAACATAAGAAAACAATATTTTCAAAAATTGAACAATTGGCTGCGTTAATCAAAAAAGGGTGTCTCAGAATTATTGAAGTGGATGGTCGAGAACCTGCTACCATTAGATTGCCTATGGAAAAAGAAACTTTGGACTGGTACTTGATTAATTCAAAGAATTTTCAGGAAGCATTATTAGCATCATCTGCTAAAGTAGAAACCAGTAAATTAGTGCCTAAAGTTTTGCAATGAATGACAGAATGGAACTGGATTACTCGACCATTAAGAGAAGAACGCCCTATAGAAGGAGCTATTACAGCTTTTACAGATGCGGGAAAGAAATCAAGGTGTGCTGCTGTCACTTGGCAAGAAAAAGGACAATGGAAGCATCAACTCCTTACAGCAGATCCTGCAGATAGCTTACAAACCTTGGAATTGTTAGCAGTAGTATGGGCAGTGTCTAATTTACAGGAGCCTTTAAATGTGGTTACAGACTCTATGTATGTTGCAGGAGTAGCCAGACGAATAGAGGAAGCAGCAATTAAGGAAGTGAATAATAAACGATTGTATGAGTTATTGATACAATTGAGGAAAGCTTTACGAGAGAGAAATGCAGCGTATTCTGTGATTCATATTAGGAGTCATAAATGGTCTGAAGGTCTAGGAGAAGGAAATGAACGTGCAGACAAATTGGTTACCTTACCCATTGATAACTCTTGTCCTATTGACAAGCATACATTGGCCAGAGAGGCACATAGCAGATATCATCAAAATGCAAGAGAGTTAGCAAAACATTTTGAGCTGAGTTTATCAGAAGCTAAGGCCATTGTTAGAGCATGTCCAATATGTAGTTATCATAATGGGGGAATAGGTTTAGGCATGGCAGTTAATCCTCGAGGTTTAGAAATAAATGAAAAATGGCAAATGGATGTTACACAGGTACCTAGATTTGGTAAAGTTAAGTACGGGCATGTCACTATAGATACATATAGTCACTACATATGGGCTACGGCTCAGGCAGGACAGAAAGCTACACATGTTATCAGGCACCTGTTAAGTTGCTTTGCTGTTATGGGAGTTCCAAGGAGTATCAAAACTGATAATGGTCGAGCTTATGTATGTGCTAGGGTCCAGAAATTCTTAAATCAGTTGTCCATTAAGCATGTGACAGGTATTCCACACTCTTCTACTGGACAGGCAATAGTAGAAAGAGCAAACGGCACCCTTAAACGATATATTGAGAAACATCAAGATTTAACAGACCCACAATCATGCTTGGCTAAGGTTCTGTATGTGATCAATCATTTATGTATTTTTGGGGAAGATGATACCCCTCCTGCGATTAAACATCATCCAAGGTCAAATCAGAAAAATACTGAGGAGACAGAGGTCTGGGTTAAGTATAAGAACCCAAGTACAGGATTATGGGAAAAACCTGCAAAAGTATTATATTGGGGTAGGGGGTATCTTTGTGTTTCCTCACCTACAGGACCTTTGTGGGTGTCTGCTAAGTGGACTAAACCTGTTTTTGATGCAGCGTCTGGTGGACCGCCTCACGGAGGAGGACAAGGAGCGACTGAGGAAGAAACTGCCCCTAGTCCTACAACCGCTATTGCTACAATTGAAGGGACACTTGGAAGTGTTGGACAGAGCACTGACACGTCACTATCGGACGGCCCAGGAGTTGATTGGTTTTATTGACTCGTTATCAACTTTTCATTTAGCAAATCCAGCAAAGGCACCTTGCCTTTACTGTTATGATCCACATTGTGCTGCCTGGATAGCTCTACGTTGTGGGGGTTGTGATAATACTTTTTGGATAGAACAATCATTATTATGGGATTTATGGTGTCACACTTGTGAGCACGAGCACACGTGGGGTAAAAACTGGCAAGATGAATTAAGGAGACAGACGGGGCAAAATGCATATGTAGCTTTAAATCTTTATGAGTCTCCTGAACAGAAAATTCTTGCTTATTATCGTTGGGAAGTACAATGTGTTGTGAATAGAACTAAGGTTCAAAGTAAATCATGTATAGTCTCTGCAAGGTGTAGAAAATTAGTACCTTTAACACAACATTCTCTTGTAGGGCCCTTCAGGGGGAATCCTGAAAGAGCATTAGATCATTGCATTGAAAAATTACAAAAATTGAGTTTGCAAGTGACAGGACCAGTGAAATTAGGAGCAGCAAAACTGAAAACTGATAAGAAAAAGAAGGCTAGAAAGGGAACAACCTCTTCTAAATAAGGCTAATTAGTTTCTATGATTAGAACACTTTTTTATTTATGGAACCCTCAGGTGGGTATAGTTGATGAAGACAACCAACAATATAAACAACGATTACAAAATAAGAGACGCCTTGCAATAAAGAAAGAGCTTGAACTATTAGCCTTATATAGTAAGAAAGGTGAGGAGGCTTTGCAAACACCACCATTAAACTGGTTACATTGGATCGAAGAGACAGACTTTTATACTGGTCCTTACTTACATTCACTTCCTTGTTATGTTTGCAAAAGGGATGCTGATAAGTGCTATGCATGGATAGCTTTGCATTGTGCGGGTTGTAATAAGGTTTATTGGTATTCACGAAAGACAATAGCAAATTTATGGTGTAGACCTTGTTTTGGGAAGTGGATTCAAGATTTTATTTGGGTTAGAGCTCTTGAACAAAGTACTGGCCTGCCAGGAAGGGCAGGATTAGAGCTTTTTGAGAGTGCAGAACAAGTGGCTATAGCATATGTTAGATGGAAGTTGCAGCAAGTACTTAGAGAGTTTGAAGTTACTAGTGCCTCACGCATCATAGCAGCTCGCTGTAAAGCTGATTTGCCTTTAAATCTACCACACGTTATACCTGTAAGCAAGGATGCTGATTCGGAATTAGACCAGTGTATTCAAAAAGCTAACTTAGGTCTACATTAACCGTTCTAACAAGCCAGACAAAAGACGAAAAAGAAAGGGAGAAAAATGAAGCTTGTTCTTCTTGTACTGCTCAATGCTGTAGCGAGTGAAGCAATAGGGATAACACGTTTCAATCAACCAAGAGAAAATCTATGGGTAACACTTGCTAATCAAATTAATCAATCATCGCTTTGTCTTAGTCTTGGAGGAGTTACTAACCCATTTCAAACATGCCTGGTAGGACTTCCGGTGTGGTCTCCTAGAGAATTTTGCAGTTTAATAAGTAATCGAACTTTATGCATGCATAACATGTCAAACATCACATTGCCAGTGCAACAAGGGTATACTGCAGGTCAGAGTGATGGCTATCGCCAATGCTTACTAATTCAATCACTTAACACTTCTTTGCATTCTCCTCCTGAGGAATTGGATCTTTTTGGAAGTGCAAATGCCAGTATGTCTAACACTACAACTGGTGGATGGTTCAGTTTCAAACCCTTAGATGTCCAGAATTTAAATCAACCTAAAGACACATGGGCCACCTTAGATTCATCCCTGAATTTAAGTGAATTCTCTCCACAGCATTACAGTCAATGTAACGGCACGAACATCATGGCACCAATGAAATTACCCACAGGAATATTTTTGATCTGTGGAGATAGAGCATGGAATGGTATACCAGCTAAACCACAGGGTGGACCCTGTTATCTGGGAAAATTGTCCTTGTTTCACCCTAATGTGTCCTTGCTAATGCAACTCAGTCGAACATCAAACAGGAAAAAGCGTAGTATACATGACTTGGATTGCAGCCAGATAGGAGATCCACAGTTCTGGGGTACATTCAGGCAAGTAGTAGTTTCCACTATATTGCCAGGAGGATCTGCCAATAAGGCTATGAATTTAGCAAAGCAATTAGGGTGCTGGGCAAGAGATGAGCTAAACAAAACATCCCAAATTCTGGACATGTTAACTGCAGATGTGCAAAGTGTTAACCATGCAGTTTTGCAAAACAGAGCTGCTATAGATTTTTTGCTCTTAGCACAAGGACATGGATGTGAAGAGTTTGAAGGAATGTGTTGCATGAATTTGTCTGATCATTCGGTGTCTATTCACACTAAGATAAAAGAATTACAACAAGGACTTCACAATCTCAAGGAAGAAGAAGGTTTAGGAATTGACGAATGGCTTAAAAACTTAGGACTTGGGCCATGGTTGAGAAACCTTGTGATCTATGCTATAGGACTACTGGGTGTAGTTTTACTGTTTTTGCTTATTTTGCCTTGTATTTTTACTTGTATTCAAAACATGGTTGGCCGTATGATAACTAAAACCTGGCAAACTAATCTCCTTGCTCAAAAAGAAAATGGGGGAAATATGGAGAATATTGTTAATAAATGGTTAAGTGAGAAAAACCATCCTGATATAATGCCGCTGGTTAAGCTCAAAAGGGAGGACAGCAGTCTCTGATTCAGTGACTGCTGACAGGCAAGAATGCCGGATGACCTTGCTGCAACATGAGGAAAGGGAGGTGAGATTAGTCCTGAATATCTGCAGAATGTAACAAAAGAATAAGCACAAGAATGTAGAAGTAGGTGTAGTTGCTGATATGTAACTAACCAATCCTGAGCTCAGCTTTTGCAATATGTATGAACTTATTAAGAACTGTATTTAACCCGCCGTATTCGATCAATAAATCAGACCTGAATGAACCAATTGGTGTCTGGGTCTCCTTCCTCTGACACCTCCATTCTTGGTGCTCTTAAAATGAAAACAGTGAGGAATTCTAGACTGGGCTGGGCTGGCAGGGCCCTGTAAAGGTCCTCCGGTGCAAGTGTCCTGCAATGAGCAGGGACATCTTTAAAGAGATCAGGTTGCTCAGAGCCCTTTGCCACCCGAGCCGGAATGGTTGCAGGGATGGGGCACCTACAAGCTCTTGGGGCAAGCTGTGGCAGGGTAGCACCATGCTCCGAGTAAACAAGTTCTTCCTTAGACCTACTCTGATTAGATGCCCTTTGTGTTTAAAAATATTTGTCCATATCCTATTGTAACTGACCCTGTTAAAAAAGATGTCCCCCACTTTCTTCAAAGCCACTCTGAAGTCTTAGAAAGTGGCAATAAAGTCTCCCTGGGGCCTGTTCTTCACAAAACTGAATAACTCCAGCTCCCTCTGCATTTCCTGAGAGGAGAGGCGCTCTGTCCTCTGACTGTTTCTGTCACCCTCTTTTGTAATTTGGTGGAGTGTTCAGTTTTATCTAATGGCAAAAGAATTGAAGTAGAGCAATGCAGGGTACAGAGACATGAAATGGTGGTGGAGGAACCCAAGGAAGCCAGTCCCAGCTGAGCAGTCAGAGATTTGGCTGTGGGCAGGAGGGGCTGTGGGGGGCTCACTCTGAGGGGCCCTGGTTTGTGCCCCCCAGCCCACGCTTAGAGGTTTCTGCCACGCAAACAGGGACAGCTGGGAGGGACTTGTCCCAGCCCCATCTGCTGCCTGGCACGCTCAAGCAGACGGGAACTGTGCCAGGGTTACTGCCAGGTTGTGTGGCAGAGAGGGAACTGCAGGGCCCAGTGCCACTGGGCTGGCCCTGCTGGGAAGGAAGGTGCCATCCAGCACACGAGGGGCAGGGCATGGAAAGGTAGACACTGCTTTCTGTCCCTGTGGGAATTAGCACAGTGCCTGTCTTTCAAAGGCAGGGACCTGTGTGAGTCATTGGAATTTGCTGAAAGCAAGATAACCCAGGGACAGAAAGCACCATTTCTAGAGCACTGGCAGGGCAAAAATCCCAACAAGATAAAGAAACCTGAATAAATGGATGAGTGGGATTCTGGGCCAGGTTTGCCTATGATGGCAGGGTCCTGCACATGACTGCTGGGTAGCAGATGGTCCCACTGCTCCTCTTTCTGGGCCTTTTTAGGACCCAGAGCAATCCCAACTGAGCCTGTGAAGCACTGAGCTTGGAAAGTAATGGCTCACTGTTCACTGTTCTTTGTCTTTTTGTTGTTTGGTTTGTTGTTTGTTTTTGGTTTATTTGTTTTGTTTTGGTTTTGGGTTTTTTGTTTGTGTTTGTTTTCGTTTTTGCTTTTGTTTTTGTATTCGTTTTTTGGTTTTTGGGGTTTATTTTGTGAACAGCATCCATTTGTAACATCAGCTGAGGCTACATCCACCCTGGCACCACTCATCATCTCAGTGAAGAGGAGGACAGAGAAGCAAACAGTGCTATAATCATATCAGGACCATTTTCTCCATAGCCATCTTAGAGTAGGATTGTAGAGTAGGACTGTAGAGTAGGATTTAGAGTAGGGCTATGTGGAGAAAAGAAAAAAGACTCTGCACAATTTAATGTGAATCAAGGAGAAGCCATTTATTGTGCTTCTAAACATAGTTTATAATTAGTTCCTATCCTATAGCTTTCTGTAGTCGTGCATTGTTTGGTTGCATCTTTTTCTTAATCTAATTGGTAGATGCTGTAAGGGTCATTTTATTTGGGTTGCTGCCCCTTTGTCTGTCAGCAACTCTTCTGCTTCTTCTTTCTGCTCGCAACATCACCTTTTTGTCCACAAAGTTGAATGCAGCTTTACTAAAAACCTGACTTAGTCCTAGAAGGTTAGTTAGTTTAGTTAGCTCCAGAAACTTAGGCTGGTTCATTTAGTGCCTGTCCATTTTTCTGTAAATATCACCCTACAGGATTATAGAGTAGGATTTTAAAT